GTGAGCCACCAGTGCCCGGCTCTATTTAGTATATATTTTTATGTATATGCACGTGTGTGTGTGTGTGTGTGTGTGTGTGTATGTGTTTGTGTATGCAGAGAGAGAGAGAGAGAGAGAGAGAGTGTGTGTGTGTGTGTGTGTGTGTGTGTTAGAGTTTACCAGCTTATATTTGGTGACTGCTATTCTGAGAGCTACGGGTAATGAAGGGGCAATTCACCCTAACAGCTCCATTCAGACACAGACTGCCTTGTTTTTTAACCTAAGATTATTGTGTTCTTATGATTCCTATCCTTCAGGGTCAGCCTTCTGAAACTGAGGTTCTGGGAGCGGTTTTAGGGGTCTAAATTTCCTAAAGTTGTATTCTGCCTGGTCTGTGTTTTCTATTAAATGGGCATATTATCCCCCCAGGAGGAAGTAGAAGGACTGATACAAAACAAAGTACAATTGGAAATAAACAGCCTTATGGTCTAGGTGGACGATCTTTTCCCAATCTGAAATGACTCTGTTACAAACATTTAATAACTGCAAGAATGGAAATAATTTACAGTGTTAGATGAACCATTTTTTATTCCTTAACACCAACATCTTTGATTAATTGCTTCCATTAGCATATTTGCATTAAGATTTACCTGGATTTTTTTCCTCTCATTTTTATTTCTGCTCCTCTCTTGTTTGAGACACTCATTTTATTCAAGAATTCCTCTTTCAATCCCCTTTCTCTTTTGCTTTCTAAATCTTGTTAGGAAATTTACCGCCATTAGTGAGCTTCTTTATCCAAACTTGGTATTTATCTCATTTCAGTTTTTTCTTCAGTTCTTCACCTAAAAGTAGTCTGAATTAAAATTAAATGTACTCATTTCGCCAGAATGGCTAATTTAAGACCTGGGTATGTGTTACCTTTTCTTCCCTCAAATCCTGAAGGAAGAATAGTTGCAGAGATGGCCTTCAGCTCTTTCTGTAGACTTGGTTATTGCTCCTGACCTTCCCTAGGAGGCAGTGATCTTCCCTCACTGTTCTCCCGTTCTCACGTGGGAAAGCTAAAGGATATTAGACAACAGCATGGTTTTTTGTGTCTCTGTATGAATTAAGTGGATCAACTAGTATCTAAAAACATGATTTTTCCAACCTGCCTACTTGTCTGATTAGTTGCCCGCACCCTGCCCCTTTATGGAAGTTGGGCTTAATCTCTCCGATGTTAAAAATTATTCAGAGACAGGATAGCTATAGCTATTGTCCTTTTGAAAGTCCTGTCTTAAAGTGGGAAGTCCTATCTGCCTCACAGGGAAGTTGTGAATTTAAAGGAGTTAACTTTGGTAATTCTCTAGCACAGTGCTTGGCACATAGTAGGTGTGTTAATTTCTTTCCCTTCCCTGCAGGCCATTCACCTGCTCTTCCCTCTACGATTTTCCATAACACTGTTTTTCCTTGGAGCCAGTCTTCTGCCAAGAGTCTCAGTTTGGTTGTGTACTCCTACAACTACTATTTTTGGCTTGACTTCCCTCTCCAGCTCCCAGTGGTCCAGCCACACAGTCGCCTATTGTACCAGCTGGTTGATGTAAGTCTTATCGATCCTTAGCAGTCAGCTGTGCTTCTCTGAAAATGTAGCATCCTTGATGCCTGGGTTTTTTCTTTCTTCACTATTGTTGACGAATCATCTAATCATTTCCTTGTGTGATCCTCAAGCTGGAACTAGAATTAGAGAGCTTAATGTGCTGATCTAGGTCTCCTCATGATTTCCTGAGTTGAGGACACGTAAGTGATCAGGTGAAGTGCTGCTTCTGTCACTGTTCCAAGTGATGGGGCACTTACACAAACCGTAAGGATGACACATTTTCAAAGAAAGTACAAGTTGCTGTTAAGTAACTGGGATTTTTGAGTAATTTTCCTGTTAAGTAATTACATAAGAGTTCCCAAACTTGTTTTACCAGCAAATAGTGGTGCATTGGAGCATTATTTCATAAATGAGAAGGATCCAGTTATGAGTGGTTAGTGGATTCTAGTGGGTAGTCTGCAGAGGCACTGACTGCAGAGCTCATGAGGGATGGGGCAGACGCAGTTTTTCACTTAGGTGCTCTCCGAACTTTGAATAGCTCAAACTCCCCATTAGCAAGAGTCAGCAAATGCGGTATGTTGATTCCAGAAACACTTTTTTGAGTGTCTTCTTTCCTTTTTTTTTTTTTTTTTAGAGTATTGTTTTAAGACAGAAAGGTAAAAGCACACTTTGGCTTAGTTGCTTTTGCCTTCAGAGAGCTTATTTCTTGTCCCTTGGTGGTTCTTCTATGACTCAGATCTGGGACTATGGAGGAGGTATGGGATTGGAAGTAGTATTTAGTGCTGTAGCTGGTGTCTTCTTACTTCTGTGCTTCTGTGAGTTCTTCCTGTTCACAGAGGAACCCAGCTTTCATTTGGTATGCCCAGAGCAAACATGTATGATTGGAAGGAAAGCCAACACCCTTCCTATCTTGTAGTTGGATATTCAACCATCTAGCCTTATGTTTGACACCTCAGAGTCAGATGCTGTTTACACAAATGGGAACCTCGGAGTTGATGAGGTAACTACTCCCAAGCAGTTTTTTTTTAAAATGCCACTGCTGGGGCTTGAGCTCAGGGTTTGGGTACTGTCCCTTACCCATTTCTGATCAAGGCTGCTCTACCACTTGAGACACAACTCCACTTCTGGCTTTTTGCTGGTTAATTGAAGATTGAAGATAGAGTCTCACAGATTTTTCTGCCTGGGCAGGCTTCAAACTGATTCTCAGATCTCAGCCTCTAAGTAGCTAAGATTACAGGTGTAAGTCACCAGGGACAGGCTCTCTAAGCTTCAGCGACCGTTTCTCTGCAGAATTAAAGACACAGAATTTATTTATTCCTATAAATAAAAACCCTGACAAGTTTGCTTTTAAGAAATGAAAAAGATTCTATACATAGTATCAGTAGGCCATATATAATACTTTATTTAGTAATTACAATCCTCCAAAATACCTAGTTAATGAGAGAAGGAAAGAAGACATGACAGTAAGGAAGAAGCTGGTGGAGGAGGTGTTCTGTGCTGATGCCATGTTGGTGTTTAGATAGCATATATTGCTGGGCTATGATAGTGATTTTGCCCTATGAGCTGAAGGGCAAGAATTACAACACAGTAATTAGCTCTTGGATATTGCAAGTCAGACTTAAGTTTTAATCTGGATTTTGTAGTTTACTTTTCTGGCTAGGTAAATTTAGTTTCTCTGAGCCTCTGTTTCTTCACTTGATGGGGTTATGATGTTGAAATTGCATGATAAGATAGGAAATATTTAACATGTATATAAGCACTTACCACAGTGCCAGAAATATAGTGTGTGCTTAAGAAATGTTAATTGCTGTTATTATTGGATGGTTGGGTACATAGATGAAGGATTGCACTAGAGGCTAAATAGCCAAAAAGAAAAGATTGTGGATTTGGAATTAGTCAACTGTTCATACCTTATCATTTACTTGACCTGTCAGCTTTCTATTGTTATCTCTATCTTTCCCTGTTTGGAAAGCCAGTTAATGACTGAATCGTAGTCACAGTTCTTTCTGAATCCTCTATCCTTAGCTTTTACTTCCATGATAGAAGGGATTCTTTGTGGGTGTGAGATTAATTCATGAGCCTGATATGCAGGGCCTGGTGTGGCCTTGGTGCATAAAGATTTCTACTCTGATCTCACAGGTCCTGGTCTTGTTATAATTAAGCTATCTTAAATAAAAATTAAAACACTGTATATATGGTTGATTATTTAAGTTACACTTTATTCTTTTTTGCTGTGCTTTCACTGATTGTAGATTATGAATCCATGGTTAGGGGCTTTTTGAGAAGGCTGTAAAGGCCTGATATCTGAGTCATAATACTAGCTGGATTCCTAGACAGGATAAAAGAACTGTAGTTACTTGGGGATAAAATTTTATTATATTTCACAATATGAATGATCCAAAATTTTTAATGCTTTTAACATTGTAAAACAATGTACTTATGGTCACTGTGATAAGATAGCATTACATCACAGTTTAGTTGGCTTTATTTTCTTAGTGATAGAGAAGAAATAGTTTGTGTCAATATTGTATAATTGTGTCACGATTGTATAAATGAAGTAGACTCAGATATGGTGCCATGGTTGTGGGTAAAAGAAGGGTCTTGAGTTAAACTTGTGGGGTTTAAATTTTAGCCTTATGAACTGGACCTTGAACAAAGCACTCATCCTTTCTTTACCTTAGTTTTTTCACCTGCAAAACAGGAGCTTCGTCCCCATCTTATAATGTTGCAGTGAACACTATGATAAAGCATGTAACATGTTGGAAGTAGTAGTGCCTAATACAGGAAATGTGCTAGAAAATTACCTTTACAAAAACAGTTGGAATTCACATGGTTACAATGGAAACTCTAATACTTTAAATATGACAGTGTTTTCAAAGGGCAGATGAAGATAAAAATGTTTAGCCAGGCATGGTGGTTAGTGCTTGTAATTTCAGCACTTCCTAATAGTCAGAAGACAGGAAGATTCTAAGTTAGAGGCCAAGATGAGTTCAAGGCCATTCTGGGCTGTGTAGTGTCAACAACAAAACGAGGCAAATCTTCCAACAAAACCCCAAAATAACAGAAAAGGTTAGTATTCACAAATGTTCTTACTCGTATGTGTGTAGTTGTGTGTTGTAAGGTCAGAGAGAGTTGAAACAGGAACTATGAAATTGAGAGCGAATGTGTGGAACCAAATCACGTTTTGGTTCTGATTGTAATTGGTAAGTAGGAAACGAGTTGGAGTGTCTTGAAAATTTGCAAAATTTGGAGAATTTTTTTTCATACTTGAGGTTAAGAAAAAACAACAGAGGACGAATCTGTTTGGTTTTTATGAATTTTCCTGTTCTAGGTAAAGAAATTTTCTTTTCCAATTATTTGAGTAAGCAACATCTCTTTACAGTATGGTGGCTACAGCTTAAGATTTTCTTTTATTCTTAAGAGAAAATTTTATTTTTTTCTATGTTAGTGTTCGGTGACCAGTGACCTGGATTTTCCAACACAAGTCATCCCATTAAAGACCCTTAATGCAGTTGCGTCAGTACCCATAATGTATTCATGGTCTCCGCTACAGCAGAATTTTATGGTATGTAAGTAATGTATCTTCTGCTTATTTGGTAATAACTTACTTGAAATAAGAACTATAGATTACTTACTTGTCATAGTAAATCAAGGCCGTATTAAGTATAAACATCTTTCAAAATGATAGATGGTTGGAAGGGATGGGAGAGAATTAAGAAAGGGGGTTACATTGATCAAGGTACATTGTACTTATAACTTGAGTTCTGGAATTGAAACTTGTAGTACAGTGCATTGTACTTATACACTGTTAGGTTGAATTGAAACCTCTGTACAACTACTTGATGATAATAGAAAATAAAAATAAGTGAATTAAAAATGATAACTAGGCTGCCATCAGTGGCGCACGCCTGTAATCCTAGCTACTCAGAGGCTGATCTGAGGAATGAGGTTCAAAGCTAGTCCGGGAGAAGTGATGGAAGCCCGGAAGTGGCGCTGTGGCTCAAGTGGTGAAGCCCTTGCCTTGAGCTGAAGAGTTGAGGGATGGCGCCCAGTCCCAGAGTTCAAGCCCCACGACCGACCCCCTCCCCCCCCCCCCCCCAAGAAAAAAGGTAATTGGGCTGGTTGCCAGTGACTCATGCCTGTAATCCTAGCTACTCAGGAGGCTGAGATCTGAGGACCTTGGTTCAAAGCCAGCCCCTGCAAGAAAGTCCATGAAACTTTTTTTTTTTTTTTGGTCGGTCGTGGGGCTTGAATTCTGGGCCTGGGCGCTGTCCCTCAGCTCTTCAGCTCAAGGCGAGCGCTCTACCACTTGAGCTACAGCGCCACTTCCGGTTTTCTGGTGGTTTATTGGAGATAGGAGTCTCATGGTCTCTCCTGCCCTGGCTGGCTTTGAACCGCGATCCTCAGATCTCAGTCTCCTGAGTAGCTAGGATTACAGGCGTGAGCCACCAGCGTTCCATGAAACTCTTATCTGCAGTTAACCACCAGAAAACCGGAAGTGGTACTGTGACTCAAGTGGTAGAGCTCTAGCCTTGAGCTGAAGATCTCAGGAACAGTGCCCAGATCCAGAGTTCAAGCCCCACGACCAACCAAAAAAACAAACAAACAAAAATATATATAATATAATTGGGAGTGATTCTTAAAAATTAATAGTTTTTTTTGTTTGTAAAAAAGCCTTTGCTATTTCTATTTCCCTATACTTTTCAAGAAAAAAAGGTAAACAAAGCCCAGAGTTAAACACACTTAAAAGGTGTTGCTGCTTATCATTCCTATGCTTGGAAGGTCAGTCTGTGTCCTGTCATTTCAGTCTCTTTTTTTTTTTTTTTTGGGTCCGGTCGTGGGCCTGAACTCTGGGCCTGGGCGCTGTCCCTCAGCTCTTCAGCTCAAGGTGAGTGTTCTACCACTTGAGCCACAGCGCCACTTCCGACTTTTTTCTTTTTGCTTATGGGTGCTGAGGAATTGAACCCAGGGCCTCAGGCATGCAAGGCAAGCGCTCTACCACTGAGCCACCTTCCCAGCCCCTCAGTCTTAGTTTTTGTTAATTGAAAACTTACTAGCTTAGTAAGTTGCAGGGTAGCCAGTGATAATGTGTGGTGGAAATATTCTCAGGATTATACAATACAAGTGCAGACACTCTCTAGATAACACTGCCCTCAGTAGCTTTGATAATAAAATGCTCATATTTAATTCTTTATAGAAAGAGACCAAAGGAGTGCTGAACAAAAAAAATTCAGATGTGCATTCTTGACTTGTATTGTTAAATAAACATGTATGATTTACCCACTAACTTGGCACACAAGGTGAGAAAGTAAATGAAATGCTGAGGACTAGGGACTCCCTGTCCTTGGTAAATTTAGAAAATTGCTTTATGGAATTGCTTACTGGAGTTTTTCAAAAAACCAGTAGACATTTTTAATGATCTTTAGTGACTTTTGTCTTCTACATCTTACAGTGGAGGCTTAAAGGTAGACTTGAGTTAGTTTGTGTATATTTGCATTTAAGGGTTTATTCAAAAATTTGTATTGTTAAACTTTTAGGGAGGTTTAATATTTCAGACTGGAATTCTGAAAGCTGTAATATTTAAGTATTTATGAACTGTTCCTGTGTTTCTCTGGTCACTCGTCCAAGCAAATTTGGTAGTCTATCTTTATTATGGCTAGAACATACCTTGGGAACACATATAAGAGGATACAGTTGAGGAAACAGAATAAGAAAGTATGATTTACAATTTTGGCCTGATCTAAACAAATGAACTCTTAGTTTAAGTGGAATTAGTACAAGCAAGATGTAATGCAGACAGGACTCTAATGTGCACTTGCATCTGAATAGATGCATACATTAAAGTCTACATTTTCATTTTGAATTTCCTATTCTTTTATCTCAGTTTTCCTTTTTGTTCTTTGTTTGAGGTACTGATAAATTATGGACTTTCCTGTTGTCCAGAATTTTGTTTTGCAGCGATTATTTGAGTAATTTCTTCTTCGCTGTGTGCTGCTGCCTGACAGCCCCCGTGTGTCATGGCTTTTCCCATTGTGTTCTTCCCTATTGATTGTGATCACAGTCTGGTTCCAGCCCTTCTCATCTTACCCGTGTGTGCCTCTGTAGTGCTAGCTAGTTTATTCTGTTTATCAGCATTATCTTTCTAAAATTGCATTTTTAACCAATATCCTGTTGAAAAGCCTTTTAAGAGTTAGGCCTGGGCTGGGAAGGTGGCTCAGTAGTAGAATGCTGGCCTTGCATGCATGAGGCCCTGGGTTCGATTCCTCAGTACCACGTGAGCAGAAAAAACCAGAAGTAGTGCTATGGCTCAAGTGGTAGAGCACTCACCTTGAGCTGAAGAGCTGAGGGACAGTGCCCAGGCCCAGAGTTAAGGCCCCACAACTGACCAAAAAAAAAAAAGACCACTTTAACTGTCTGAACTTGTCTTCACCTATAGTTACTGTTGCTTTTGTTCTTCTTGAGTATTCTGTTTCTCCTGTGAATGTCAGCTTTCTGACTGGGTATCCCTTCCTCCCTCCCCTCCCTGGGCCCCCTCCCCCCTCCCAACTGAGAACCGAACTCTGGGCCTTACACTTGCCAGGCCAGCCTTCTTCCACTGAGCTAATCCCCCAAACCCAGCCCTGTATTTCCTTCATCTTTCCCTTTCCCTTTCCCTTTCCCTTTGGTCATGGGGCTTGAATTCTGTGCCTGGGTGCTGTCCCTCAGCTCTTCAGCTCAAGGTGAGTGCTCTACCACTTGAGCCACAGCACCACTTCTGGTTTTCTGGTGGTTCATTGGAGAGAAGAGTCTCACAGACTTTCCTGATGGGGCTGGCTTTGAACCAGGATCCTCAGATCTCAGCCTCTGGAGTAGCTACGATTACAGACAGGTGTGAGCCACCAGCACCTTGTCCCTGTGTATTCTTGAGTACTAAGTGCTTCCTGGATTCTTCTTTGACTGACTGTTCCCTGTAAGACTAACACAGTTTTTCTTCCCCTGTCTTCTAAACCATGATGTCAACCCACTCATCATCTTACTGGCACAATGAACTTAGACATACATTTTATTTATCAGAGTATCAAATAGTTTATTCAATTTTTTTTTCTTTTGTGGGTCGTGGGACTTGAACTCTGGGCCTGGGCACTGTCTCTCAGCTCTTCAGCTAAAGGCAAGTGCTCTACCACTTGAGCCACAGAGCCACTTCTGGTTTTCTGGTGGTTCATTGGAGATAAGAGTCTCACAGACATTCCTGATGGGGCTGGCTTTGAACCAGGATCCTCAGATCTCAGCCTCTGGAGTAGTTAGGATTACAGGTGTGAGCCACCGGTGCCCAGACAATATTCTTATTTTACAAGGCTGAATCCTTTTTGGTATAAAATTTAAAGAGGCATTCAATATTCTATTTTACATTCATACAGTTTTATTATATCAAATACCTTAGCTTGGTCAAGTGAAATTTAGAAACCTTTTCTTAGTATGGTTTTCTTTTCACATGGACATTTGTATTTGATTTCTGACAAACAGTACTGTCACTTCTAAGACACACATCTCCCATTCTAACATGAAATAGGAATGGCTTAAAATTAATATCTCCTCATAATCTGCAGCATTTTCTCCTTCTTTTTCTTGTGCCAGTACTGGGGCTTGAACTCAGAGCCTCCCAAGGCTGGCATTCTACCACTTGAGCTACATCTCCACTTTCAGCTATTTGCTGGTTAATTGGAAATAAGAGTCTCTTGGATGTGTCTGCCTATGCTGGCTTCAAGCCAAGATCCTCATAACTCAGCCTCCTCAGTAGCTAAGATTACAATGCCTGCCTTTTTTGGGCGGGGGGGGGTGGTTAGGGAGCGTGCTAGTAACAAGGCTTTTACTCATGGCTTTCAGTTTTCCCTCACCTCTCTTACTAGTGACTGACTGCCATACCTCTACTGTGGCATTTTCCTCGTTAATTGGAGATGGAATCACATACTTTTCTGCCTGGGCTGGCCTTAAACCTAGATTCTTGGGGTCTCAGCTGTCTGAGTAGCTAGAATTTCAGGAGTGTGACACTGGCACCTGGCAGCTTGTTTCCTTTGTTAGAGGCACTTAAAGTTAGATGGTAAAATATATTAAGTACAATATTTTTCTCCCTTGCTCCATTGATAGTTTGCTTCGTGACTGATACTAGAGAATGGAGTAAAGACTCTCCTGGAGAGCAGTTGTTCTCTTCTTGTCATTTCCCTTTGTTTTTGGTGGTGGCACTGGCGATCAAGCCCAGGACTGGTTGGTACATATTAGGCAGACACTAACACTTAGCTACATCTGTAGGACCTTTCATATTGAATTAAAAAAGTAATAGTTAATATTCATCTGTTTTTGTTTTCATGCTGATTCTGGGGCTTGAACTTGGGGTCTGGGCATTGTCTTTAGCTTTATTGTTTGAGCCACAACTCTACTTCTGGCTTTTTGGTACTTAATTGGAGAGAAAAGTCTTATGAGCTTTCCTGCCCAGGCTGGCTTCAAACTGGGATCTTCATTCTCAGCCTCCTGAGTAGTTAGGATTATAGGTGAGGGCCACCAGAGCCTGCTCCAGTACACCTGGGTTTTAAATAATATATATATATATATTTTTTGCTGTCGGTCATGGGGCTTGAACTCTGGGCCTGGGCGCTGTCCCTCAGCTCTTCAGTTCAAGGCGAGCGCTCTACCACTTGAGCTCTACCACTTGAGCTACAGCGCCACTTCCGGTTTTCTGGTGGTTTATTGGAAATAGGAGTCTCACGGTCTCTCCTGCCCGGGCTGGCTTTGAACCACGATCCTCAGATCTCAGCCTCCTGAGTAGCTAGGATTACAGGCGTGAGCCACCAGCACTCGGCTTTAAATAATATTTTTGTTTTGTTCTCACTTTAGGTGGAAGATGAAACTGTTTTACATAACATTCCTTATATGGGTGATGAGGTTCTAGACCAGGATGGCACTTTCATTGAAGAGCTAATAAAAAACTATGATGGAAAAGTGCATGGAGATAGAGGTGAGCCCCGTGATTACTGTTTTGAGAAAGAAAAAGCTAAGGAATTGACCAGTTTATTAATATAAAACATAAAAGAGATTTTTAATAATAAAAACTAAACTTTATTTGACTGGCCTGGACTCACAAGCCTGAAATTTCTAGTGGTTTTATTTTTTTTAAATCAGACAAATTTTTTGACATCCAATAATTATTCATAGTTGGTTATGGGATAAATTGCAATAGCAATGGTGTAAATATAATAGAAATTGTGTGTAGATTATGAGACTGATTAGTAGTAAAATTACTTAGAATTAGGACTCTACTTATGTGGCCTCCTGGGCTCCAAAAAAACCCTCCCTGCTTGAAAACGCCTGCCCTCAAGGGAAGCCTCACTCCTGAGACTCAGTCACCACAATGCTGGTTTTGTTTCTGTGTCCAGGAGGCTCTGTTAAAGTGTCTGAATGGAGGGTAATGTCCTATTAGCATCGTCCATGGCCATTTTTAGCGGACAGCAAGGTCTACAGCCATCAGGTCAGTGACACACAGAGCTTTTTGGAGGAGATGCAAGTATAGTTGGTTTTCAGAGGATTAGGGCAGTACCAGCTTTGGTACTGTCAGAGGACTGACACTGGAGAAAGTAGTATAGAAGACAAATTTTGCTTCTTAACTTTACTAAAGGCCAACCCTGAAAATGGTCTTATCAGCCCTCTCCATTGCAGTACTAATGTTATAGTGCTCATAGAATCGGGTATTTCTTCCAAATTAGGGAAGGACTATAAAGACTAAAGACCTTCTATAAAGTCATAAATTAACCTTGTCATTACCGCTTTCTTTGGTGCCTTTCTGACATTTGCTTTAATGTATTTCAGAATGTGGGTTTATAAATGATGAAATTTTTGTGGAGTTGGTGAATGCTCTTGGTCAGTACAATGATGATGACGATGAAGAGGATGGAGATGATCCTGACGAAAGAGAAGAAAAGCAGAAGGACCTACAGGATAGCCGCGATGGTATGTCTGAGAACAACTTTTTGTGCAGAAATGCCATTCTTTCAAAACAAACAAAAAAGTCTAAGACTGGCACCAGTGGGTCATGCCTGGCTGGTAATCCCAGCTACTAGTGAAGGTGACATCTGAGGATCAAAGCCAGCAGGAAAAGTCCTAGAGACTCTTTATCTCCAGTTAACCACAGGAAGCTAAAAGTAGAGCTGTTGTTCAAGTGATAGAGGATTAGCCTTGAGCAAAAAGAGCTCAGGGTCAGAGCCTACTCCTTGAGTTTAAGCCCCAGCACTGGCACAAAAAAAACAAAAACAGAAAAAGCCCCACCAAAAAACAAAGACTAACCACTGGTGGCTCACGCCTATAATCCTAACTACTTAGGAGGATGAGATCTGATGATTGAAGATCAAAGCCAGCCTGGGCAGGAAAGTCCATGAGACTCTTATCTCTAATTCACCACCAGAAACCAGAAGTAGCACTGTGGCTCAAAGGGTAGAGCCCTTGCTTGCCTTGGGCTGAAGAGCTGAGGGATAGCACTCAGGCCCAGAGTTCAAGCCCCATGACTGACCAAAAAACCAAAACCAGTCCAAGTAGAAATTAGTTCCTTCTTTCTCCTCTGTTAAATATCACATCAATAATATTTGCCACATCTCACTTGAGCATTTTTTTCTTTCCTTTGGCTAATAAAAGAACACAGTCCTTACTTTTTTGGACTGCATGGAGCAATTTGCATAATCATCATTATAATGATAGCATTGCTTTGGTATCTACAAGTTGTATGCTAATCACTTCCAAGGCATCCACTTATTTAATCCTCACATCTTCAAAAGGTAGATGTTATTATTAGATCTATTGTATATTTGAGGAAACAGATTTAAAGAAGTGAAATCCTGAACCCGAGATGTTAACCTGAGCCAACTTGCCTCAGAGCTGTGCGTTCCCCTGCCCTACTATGGCTTCCTATAAACCACCTGCTCTCAAGCCCTGTTAAAAGCAGTGTGTATGGATGAATTCAAGGGAAGAATTGAAATTCCAAAGCAGCATCCATTTTTTAAGAAAACATAATGATAATCTACTTCAGTTTCTTCATATTATAGATGAGGAAACATCTAAATGGCTAAGTAATAGCAGACAGTTGAAATCTGGGGTCTGTGTATGTCTCTGTGTGTGCTCTTGAGCCCTTCAGAATTGACTTTTGTGTTTGATCTGCAAGTGTTCCACAGACTTCTATGTTAGAAGTAAGTGCAATACAGGGTTGATGATTTCTTCGAAATATCTTCCTCCACTCTAGTGCTGGGCCTTGAACTTAAGTATTTTACTACTTGAGCCACAAAAGACTAAAGTTATTGAGATACTACTATGTGGAAAAATTGAAGGGTTGAAAACTTATTTCCATTCTCCTTCCCCTCCCTTTCCTAATTCTCTATGAAGAAAAAGAAAGCCGCCCACCTCGGAAATTTCCTTCTGATAAAATTTTTGAGGCTATTTCTTCAATGTTTCCAGATAAGGGCACAGCAGAAGAACTCAAGGAAAAGTAAGTAAAATTTGCTTTTGAGGAATTCTTGCCTTGTGCTATTCCAGGTGATCAGCCAGCCACTCAAGTTTCTTTGTAGTGTTCACATGATATTGTAAGTAGAGTATTCATTTGTAGTATTCTGTGCTACAGAATGTTATTTTAGGGGGAGTAAGTATTTATGCATATGTAATTCACAGTAATAAATTATAGAAAAACTTTTCTGAATATTGGTGGGAATTTCAGAATAGTTGATGCTTAATAAAAATGAAAACAAGTCCAGGATATACCCAAACCATCAGGTCAATTGTTATGCCACACATAATATCTTAATTCTTAACAGAGCATACATAATGTTTATGCATAATGCTTCTTTGTTTCTTTTTTTTTTTTAACAACAAATGGGCACTTTATTGAACAGTTCACAAAAGAAGTACAAACAGCAAATAGTGCTTACTTATTTCTTGAAGTAAAGACGTTTGTAAGGGATATGTGTGTGTATGTGTTTCAGTCAGTAATCTTTAAGAAACATGGAAACTTTAAAAGCTTTACATTTTTTTCCTGATTCCCTCCTATTCTTCTTCTCGGTTGATATTAGATATAAAGAACTCACTGAGCAGCAGCTCCCCGGTGCTCTTCCTCCTGAATGTACCCCCAACATAGACGGACCAAACGCTAAGTCTGTTCAGAGGGAGCAGAGCTTGCATTCATTTCATACACTTTTCTGTCGGCGATGTTTTAAGTATGACTGCTTCCTACATCGTAAGTGCAATTATTGTACGTTTTCATTTTCTATCTTTGTTGTGGAATTATGTTTTTTAAACTAGCTTGAAAAGTGTTGTAATGTATTACAGTTAGAATTCAAATTTGTCATTTAGTTTTATAATATAAAAGGATTCTAGTATTGTTACTTCTATTTCTAAAAATTATAGTATGTGTGCCATACTTAAACTTCATTAAGAGAGCACATTACCTTTTGCTGGAATTTAAATGCAGGTATTTAAAAAGCTACTTACTCAGAGAATAAAAAATTAAGGACTTAACGTGAAATAAAAACTTGTTTATACAAACATCTTTCTTTCTTTTAAATTTCTGGATTTGTAGTTTTACTGTTATTAAAATAGATGTTAGGAGTACCTTTTTCTTTTTTTCCTTAATAAAGAAGATGTTTGGATGGTAGAGGACTGATAATCCAACCAACCTACAGGCCCAGTATAGCAGACACATGTCCATCAAGGGGTTGTAAATGTTCTAACTAGCCTGAGGGATAAAGGGTTTTAGTCAGGAACTAATCACACTTTTATGTTCCAAAATTGCTTTAAGATACAGTTCTTTTTTTGTAAGTTGAGGCTGGCAGTTCTGACTTTGGGCCATGGAAATTCTTTATGAAAGCTTTAGCCTAGAGGAATCAGGACTTACTATACTAGACTGACTTGGGTGTACACAGATAATAGCATGTCTAGTGGGAGGAAGAATGAGTGTGACAAACCAGGATGGGTATCTGCGCTGTTGAAACAGGACCCAGAGTAGAACTTGTCATAGAAAAATGTTCTGTTATGCTTTCTCGTAGTTCAATATCTTTTGGGAAAAATCAAATTTAAGTCTCATACTGTGTCAGTTTGTCCCTTTAGATGTTAATATGAAAATCTTGTTTTTAATATTCTTTCAGAATGTATATTGATGTTGCTTGTAGAAAAGATAATTTCCCAAATGGTTAGAACTTCAAGGAAAATATTTTTAAGTTTATGATCAATGGTTAACATTTTAAAGAAATATTTTGGAATATGTAATGGTTAAATGTTCAGACATAGCGTAATAACTAGCAGCCGTCTTTGCCCCTCAAACCTGGGATTTTTTCTTTTTCTTTTCTTTTTTTTCTTTTTTTTTTGCCAGTCCTGGGGCTTAAACTCAAGGTCTGGGCACTGTGCCTGAGCTTCTTTTGCTCAAGGCTAGCACTCTACTGCTTGAGCCACAGCACCACTTTTGGCCTTTTCTGTGTATGTGGTACTGAGGAATTGAACCCAGGGCTTCATGCATGCTAGGCAAGCACTCTACCACTGAGCCACACTCCCAGCCCCCTGGGATTTTCTGTGCGTGAAGATTAGATGAGATAATGTCCCTAGCCTAGTGTTTGCTTCAAATAAAGAAGTTATTACTAGCCTCTCATTACTGCGGCTGTCACTGTTGTTATCTAGGTTCTGGTGATGGCACTCTTTATGAGGTATTCTTTGTAAAAGTCCAGTATATGTGATATACACTGAAGAATTTCAGTGAAAGTATAATTCAGTAAGAATTTATTCTTTTTATTTGTGATGGTCCTGGGGCTTGAACTCAAAGCATGGGCACTATCCCTGAACTTCTATCACTTAAGCCACAGCTTCACTTCTGTCTTTTTTTTTTTCCTATTAAGTTTTTTTATTGTGAAAATATGGTACAGAGGGGTTACAATTACATGAGCAAGGTAATGAGCACATTTCTTATTAAGCATTGCTGCCTCTGTTGTTTCCCCTTACCATCCCACAGCTTCACTTCTGTCTTTTTAAAATAGTTTATTGGAGATAAGAGTCTCATGGACTTTCCTTTTCCAGGTTGGCTTCAAATGATGATCCTTAGATCTCAACCTCCTGAGTAGCTAGGATTACAAATATGAGCCACTCACTGGGCACCCGGCTAAGAATTTATTCTTGCCACTGAATTTACTGAAGAGTGGTTGAGATCAGTAATTTAACCAAAAGTTACTAAAACCGACAGTGGGTGTTGATCTATGATCATTTTTCACATGCCACCAAGCTTTAAGAGGTGTTCAGAAGAAGTGGGGTATGCAGTAATATGATTACAAAAACCGGAGTAGAGAAACCTGAAGTTGTTTCCCAGGGTGGGGAGCCCTTTTTCTGCCAAGAGCCATGTGGCTATGGCGGCGTCATTTACAGGCCATGCAGAATTAACACTGTGGGCCTTGGGGAGCTGACAAGAAGCATATGTGTCTGTCCTGTCATGGACCAAATGATTTAAAGCCCAAGGGCCAGATGTTCCCCATTTCTGTAGCATAGTAAAACAAGTACTGAGTGAGGTACTTAGACAAATGAGCTCTTTGTTCCTTTTTCCTAATTTGAGCAATCACCACTGGAAACAGGTAATGGCTAAAGTTTGATCTCACCATTCTGTACTTAATGTATCACTTGGTGAAATTTGAAGATACTAGGGAGTTACTGTGGGTACTGTAGAGCCATTTTCTAAAGCTGCCATGGATCTCACATTAAGGGATAGAGAACAGATGGAATTATGCACTATGATTTCAAAGTTTTCTTGTCTTGGTTTGAAAACATTTAAGATTTCTTATCAAGCTTTTGTAGATTAACTTTGATAAAGAAATGCCCTCAACATTCCTGTTTTTGCTTTTTTGTACAATTTAAAAAAGAGTCTTTAGCTGTGCGCTGGTGATTTAGTTACTTAGAAGGCTGGGAGATGAGGATTGTGATCCAAAGCCAGGCCAGACAGAAAACACCACTGGATTCCATATCTAAAATAACCAGCAAAAAAAATGGGCTAATGGCATGGCTCAACTGATAGAATGCCAGCCGTGGGAACAAGCAAAACCCTGGTACCAGGGAAAAAAATGTAGTAGAATGTGGTGAACCGTGTCTATAATCTCAGCACTCAGGAGGGGAAGCAGGAGAGAGGCAAGTTCAAGGCCAGTCGGAGCTGTGTACAGAGATCCTATCTTAAAACAATGTAAGGGGGTGTAACTAGGGGTGTAGCTCAAAGGTAGATCATTTGCCTGCCATAGGCAAATTTAGGATTAATTCCCAGCAGTATATAAAAAAAAGCATCTTGCATAATTCTTCCCTTTTCCTGATGGGGAATTTAATGTGATTTTCCCCATATATACATAGTTTGTCCCCTATGGGTTAGAGAAACCTGGGCCAGTGATTAGATAGAGTTTGGGTTATTTGATAAACTTTGAATCCTGACAGGAGTGTTTGGAAGCTTTGTGTTCAGTCGTCCGGAAACGAAAAACACTGAAGGCATTTTTCTCAGCAAGAATGGTTTATATAAGTAGTTTTTCTGGTGGTTTAAGGTTTGGGATTCTTTCAAATCTAGTTATAAAGATTTTTTTTGTTAATTTTAGCTGAATACAACGTTAAAAACAACATTTTGTTGTTTATTAGTTTTGTGTGGGTCCTGGGACTGAACTTTGGGCCTCAGCATTGTCTCTGAGCTTTTTTTCTCAAGGCTGGCTAGCTAGCACTCTGTCCTTGGGCCACCCTTCCCCTTCAGGCTTTTTAGTAGTTAATTGGAGATAAGAGTATCACAGACTTTTTCCCCTGGACTTAATTTGTACCGCAGTCCCACAGTGTCAGATCTTAGCCTCTCCTGGCTGCTGTTTTAAAATTGTTTAAAGTACCTTTCAACTATTACTGTGTTAAGTTTTCCTTTTTAGCTTGAGTTGCTTGTGTGCTAGCTTGCATAGTTGTAATTTACGAATGTTCTGTGTTCTTGTTCCGATCTGATGAGACACCTAGTTCAGGACCAGCAGAAGCTGCTGTGCCTTAGCTGTGTGTGTCCATCTGTTCTCTGTACGCTCTAAATACAGATGTGCTAGAGGAGGCAACCAAACTAAAATAGTCTTCTAACTAATGAAGATCTCTGGGTTTTTAGATGAATACGTTTCCTTGCTGTTGATAACTTTCACCTTATATATACTCAGTGTTTGTACGGATAATAAATTGCCAACTGAGCCATCTGGTATTAGGTTCTCATTCTGGAAGAAACAGCTCATAACATACAAAACTGACTCATCCCAGCTCCGCAAAAATAAAATGTTTCTCGGCTCTCATTATTTCTCTTTAAATGTAAGTTTAAGTTCATGTATTTTTAAATTTGTTTTGAGCCCTCCCCACATCTCGAACATACCAAAATGTGTGGTAACACACTTAGAATTGTAGCCTTGGGCTGGCTGGGTAAGGCCGGAGGATCGTGAGTTCACGACTAGCTCGGGCAACATAGTATGACTCTGCCTCAAGAAAAACATCTCCACACTCCACCAAAATGTTTTCTGAATAAATCATTTATTAAAAATACAAGCGAAGTAATAATTCTGAATGGATGATTTTAAGCATTTGCTTTTATCTATGAGGAAGCAAGCTCCTGAGAATTTGTGAAGTTGGTACTAGTGTGTTTACGTTGCTTTCCTATATTTCATGAGCTAACATTTGAATCTATTATTTGGAAATTTTGCTTCAAAGATTTTTTTTCTTGGGGCTGGGAAGGTGGCTCAGCAGTAAGAGTGCTTGCCTTGCATGCCTGAGGCCCTGCGTTCGATTCCTCAGCACCACATAAGCAGAAAACAGAAGTGGTGCTGTAGCTCAAATGGTAGCATGCTAGCCTTGAACCAAGAGTTGAGGGACATGTCCAGGCCCAGAGTTCAGGCCCCATGACTGACCCCCCCCCAAAAAAAAAAAAAGATTTTTTTCCTTTCTAAAATGTGTTATATTTGATGATTTTCCTGTGGAAAAGCCAAGCCCTCATTAGGTTCTTTCATTGGTTGTTCTTCACAAAAATTGAATGTTGGTAATTTAGGACTGTTCTTCTTGTAATTGAGTTTGAAGTAATATTTTAAGCAATATTTCCTACTATTCCCATGTTTTGGCTGTTCTAAAATGAAGGAATTGTAGATCTCAGAATTTACTTGATAAAATAGGAAGCCTAATTTATTTGAGATGGTCTACTGCTTGTGTGGAAGATGTTGAAGACAATATTTATAATTATAGTTTCTGTACATCAGTTATTAATGTAAAAAATATAAGCAAGAAACTCATCATTCCATAGTTGACTGTTTCCACCTTGCTTAGAGGAAACTGAAAGTTCAGTAGAAATTTGGAGGCAAGTTGTGTAAGGTAATGTAAACCATTCACTGGCAAAATACAACCAGTGATTCATTGATCTGGGGAAATGAAACATTAAGTTTTTTCTACTTACATTCAGATACTTTGTCTTTAACTTTCTTTCCAGCTTTTCATGCAACACCCAATACATACAAGCGGAAGAACACTGAAACAGCCCTCGACAACAAACCCTGTGGACCACAGTGTTACCAGCACCTGGTAAGATGTAGTTGTTTTTTATTCTGGAGGGTCGTAATGCTGAGCTCTGGTGGAGGTGGTAAAGCCAGCGTTCGTATTGTCCATCCCTGCACTTCTGTTGCCAAGAGACAGGCAGTGCTCTTACCCATGTTCTTTCCTAGCTCATGTACTGCACAATTCAGTCCTTCAGGGATCTTTGTTGTTTATCTGTTATCTCTTTAGCAACATCTGAAGCCCCATAGGTCCAAGGCTCATAGGTCTTCCACAAAGTGACAGTTGTGAGATTTGGCCCACTTCACACCAGAACCTCAGCGGTCATGTGCAGTAGCCCCTAAGAGTTCTCAGGACCATATCCATTCCACGAGTGCTAGGCCCTAGGTAGTTAGAACTACTGTAGAACCAACCTACAGATTCTTTTTAAGTGATGGAGAAAAGGTAAGGGATTAGGAAGATATAAGGTAGGAAAGTTGTTTTTACGGTACTATCTTATTGTTTACCATTTCCCCTCTTTGAACCAAGCCACTCCTACCTAGGAACTAAATGGGTATATATTGCCTGTTGGATTTTGGAGAGAAGATTCAATGAATGGCACCTGCAGAAGGTATCCTATTTTTAAGCAATTTGGTTTTGTAGACTGAAGTATAAAACTGTTAGCTGCTCTCAAACTTTTCCCTTAAAAATGGAATTCTTGAGCACTGTTGTATTGTATTCTTTAAAGGTAGAACTATTATTTGGCTCATCTAAAATGTTTCTGTGGTCTCTCTGTAAAACATGCTCTGACCATTGTTTTATACTTTCTGAGACTGAATTACTTCACAATGCAAAATGTAAGCCTTGGAGTCTGTTCCTGAAGTTCCTTTCATGTCTTCCTGTGGCTCTGCCTCCTTCACAGGAAAAAAATATTGGATGTTTTAATAGTAAGACAAAGTGACAAGCAATGTATGCATGTTTCTGTTTTGTACTTTTCTTGTATTCTTTAAATAGTACCTTTAAAGAGGTAAGTGTTACCATAAACTCTGTATAGGAAGTCTGACTCGATGCTATTAGATATAGTGATTCTTTTGGCAAAGATTCACTTTTCAATGAACTGTATTTTAATCTTCTAATGTGTGTCACAAATTCACCATGTAGAATTGTCTTGCTTGATTTCATGCTCCTCTTGTAAGATATCAAACTCATTTACATTCTGAAGTTTTCAAATCATCAAAAGTGAGTATATTCAGATATGCGATGATTGTGTGATAAATGGGTAATAAATCTCTGCGTGGTATGCAATGTCTTTGTATTCTTTTTTCAAGGTGAGGTTTAGATCTTGACACTGATGCAGACCATTTTCATTTTTCAGGAGGGAGCAAAGGAGTTTGCTGCCGCCCTTACTGCTGAGAGGATTAAGACTCCACCGAAGCGGCCGGGGGGCCGCCGGAGGGGCCGGCTTCCCACCAACAGCAGCAGACCCAGCACGCCCACCATCAACGTGCTGGAGTCCAAGGACACGGACAGTGACCGGGAGGCAGGGGCTGAGACCGGAGGAGAAAACAATGACAAAGAGGAAGAGGAGAAAAAGGACGAAACTTCTAGCTCCTCTGGTGAGACAGAACTCCTCTCTGGGTGTTTCAGCATTGCTTTGCCCGTTCACATTGTGAAGATTAAGGACGTGGATACGTGCAGTACTTGAGTTGGTTTTTTTGATTAAACAAGCAGTCTAAGATGAGGGAATTCTTTTACGAATGTAGCTGAATTGTTGCAGATTTTCCTCTCTCATGAGGTTTGCCCTTCAGGGCTTCCAGAAGGTTCAACCCAGAGTGCTCTCACCCTCTGGGCGTTTTCTTTTCTCAGGGCACTATGAAATTCTGATCACGGGCTTTTAATGTTCTTGATATCATAGGAGTAGGTTTGGTTAGAGAGACAACTAGAGAACATGGATGAATATTTTACTGATTGGGCTTCAGTTGTCCTTTCAATTTGAGGAGTTATACCACTACTAGCAAAATGCTAGAAAATGAACCGTGTTCATTTTCCTAGAATGTGGCCTTGTAGTCCACACTGAAGAAAGGGGCAACTTCATGATTGGGTGGGAGAAGAACCCCGTGATTGTTTGTAGCTTCATTTTATTCTAAGATACAATTCCCTTCCTTCTGTGGTCTTAAGCATACTCTGAATTTTACTTCTTACACTGTTCATGCATTTCCTGACTTGTGCTAACATTTGGTTTTGTAGAAGCAAATTCTCGGTGTCAAACCCCAATAAAGATGAAGCCAAATATTGAACCTCCTGAGAATGTGGAGTGGAGTGGTGCTGAAGCGTCCATGTTTAGAGTCCTCATCGGCACTTACTATGATAATTTCTGTGCCATTGCTAGGCTAATTGGGACCAAAACATGCAGACAGGTAGGTATTTCTGGTAAAAATAATGACATATATTCCTTGTCCAAACAAGAATTGCCTTTCTTTTTTGCCCAGTGTGAATGACATAATGCCATTCTCTTTTTTTTTTTTTTTTGAGGTGGGAGAGGTACTGAGGCTTGAACTTGGGGCCTTAATGCTGGCTAGGCAGTCGCTCTACCACTTGTACCAAACCTCCAGCCCTTTAATGCCATTCTTTAGTTGAGTTAAGCATTTCCTCATCTGAGATGTTTAAGGTAGGGCTAATAGATGTAAAAAGCTAGTAAGCTGACACTCGACACCACTACTCATGAGCAGAATGTTAGTGCTGCCCGTCTCCTGAAGTGGTGGAGGGGCATCCACTGGGCCCCACTGCCAGCAGTGTGTGGTGGGTGGGAGCATGGGGGGTTCCCTGACGTCAGACGGTCTGTAGAACTCCCTGCCTGTGCCTCCTCAGGTGTATGAATTTAGAGTCAAAGAATCCAGTATCATAGCGCCTGTCCCCGCCGAGGATGTGGACACTCCTCCACGGAAGAAGAAAAGGAAACACCGGTGAGTGCGTGGCTGAGTTCTAGACAGGCACAGAGAAGGAAGGCCTCTGTAGGCTGGGGGTGGACCCTGCCTTCCTTCCACTTGGACTGTTGAAGTAAAGACCATAAACTGTCCTCAGAGACAGGCCAGTGGAAGGTTGCTGGTATTTTTCTGTAATGTACGGCAGCTTCCGTTATTTTGGCATGTTGTAAGTTATACAAATTTTGGTTTACCATACTGCATCTTGGTTAAGAAAAACAAATTAAGCTTTTGTAGTAAAAGCTACATAAACAATTAGCCGTTTGTTAAGAAATGTTCCAAGACAAATTTTGTGCTTTGAGATCTGAGCCAGGTTTTAGAAGTGACTGGTAGTCTAGGAGCCCAGGCTTTCGGGAATGCCCTTGCATTCTGATGTTCTTAAGGACCCTTTTCTAAGCACTTGTGGATGCTATTTTTTGCAGAGGCTTCTGTAAGTGATGATGTTTTTAGTCTGATGTGATTGGCAAATGTAGAGCCCCCCAAAATGGTGCCTGGGCTCCTAACCCAACCCACCTTTTTAAAACGAGAAGCAAATTTGGATGCATAAGGGAACAATTAGATTATGCTTCAGTAATTTTGTATAGGCTCATTTATTATGGTAGTTTACTAAATAATTTAGAGCTTTTGAGAAATTAGGAACTTTTCCCATAGGAAGCTTCTTCTGAATTTTTGGTTGAAATGTTTCTGATGGCGTAGCGTGCTTACATGGTTAATAAGACCGGAAACTGACCAAGTAGGGGCATGCGTATAACCCACATCAGTACGTCATTTAGCTAGGCACACACCTGCCACAGGAGGCTCCTCAGCCCTGCCCAGGTGCTATGGACAGGCACAGGAAGTGGTTCCCCCATCGGGCTTTGCACTGTGGCCCAGCAGCCTCAGTGAGCAGCTGTTCGAGTCACGGAGCTGATGGGGTAGCTTATTAGGACTTCTTGGCTAGATTAATGCACAGGCAAGCCCAGTTAAGTAGCTTGGCTAGAAGGTGATGTGTTTTTCTCTGTTTTTGCAGGTTGTGGGCTGCCCACTGTAGAAAGATACAGCTGAAAAAGGGTGAGTAGCTTTCCATTTAACTTTGTGGTTGTAACAGTGTCTACTTCCTTCTCATGTTTTAGAATAGTAACTGGATTGGAGTTGGGATTTAATTGTTTTCTATACAACAAACTAATTTAATTGAAAGATAACCTGTTGCTGAGTCTCCAGTCAGTTATCTTTTGGAAAAAAAAAAGGTGATTGGATGGAGTGAGCCAGTGAGAAGCGCTTTGGAAATGGGCCAGTGATGTGAGGCCATGCTCTTGAGCTCTTGGGGGTGGGAGGTGATTTTTGCCATTTGTCCACGGAACATATGCAGCACTGTAAGTATGTTAGCAGAAACCCAGTAGGGTGCTCCGAAGGCAGTGGGGAAGGATGTACTCTTGTTAACTGTGTGATCATTTCCCATCTCCCTGGATTCATTGGCTGCGTGCTGTTGTCTTTACTCAGACGGCTCCTCTAACCATGTTTACAACTATCAACCCTGTGACCATCCACGGCAGCCTTGTGACAGTTCGTGCCCTTGTGTGATAGCACAAAATTTTTGTGAAAAGTTTTGTCAATGTAGTTCAGAGTGTAAGTATTTGTTGCTTTGATGCAATTGCATGAGAACCGAATAGGCCTTTGGCTGGCAATTTAACATAGCAATTTACACCAAAGCATAAAGACATGGCGTGCTCCTTGTCATTTACTTTAGGAAATCCATTTATTCTACACGTATTGATGGAGCCCCTAACTGCACTGTCTTAGTGTCCGGTCAGTCTTCTGGGTGTGTGTGCATGCGTGCGTGCGTGTGTGTGTGTGTGCGTGCGCGCGCGTGCCTGTGTGTGCATGCAAGTTGGTCAGAGTTGTAGTGAAGTACTTGATTTTTCTTTTTAAATTATTCTTTGATGACTTAAATTGAGTGATAGTATAGTGGGCATAGACTGTAAGGGGAAATCTAGAAGTAGCTGCCCAAACATTTTGGGGCACTGGAAGTTGTCAGACTTAGGGTTTTAGTCTTCAGAATGAAGAAAAAGTAGCATAAGGGTAATGGATTTTTAGTTGTTTAAAGGCATTGCACAGAAAGCTTGCATTCTAAAGAGCAGGCTCCAACTTGCAGGGCTGTCAGACTGGTCAAGGACCATGGATGCTCTTTAGTTCAAAGTTGAATAAAATTCACATACTCCCCCTCCCCCTTTTTTTGTTGCCAATACTGGGGCTTGAACTTCAGGCCTGGGTGCTGTCCTTTGGCCTTTTTTGCTCAAGGCTGGCCTTCTACCACTTGAGCCACACCTCCAGCCTTTTGGGGATCAGTTGGATATAAGAGTCTCATGGACTTTCCTTCCTGGGCTGGCTTCTAATTGGGATCTTTAGATCTCCGCCTCCTAAGTTGCTAGCATTGTAGGTGTGAGCTGCCGGTGCCTGGCTTCACTCAGCATTTAATAAATATGAACTTGGAAGCAAACACTCACCAGTCACCTTCCTTGGTCCTAACAGTTTTTGCATTTGCGGTTTCGTCCTTTCCTCATCTATACAGTGGAAGATAAGATGGTTGTGAAGGGGGAAATGAGTTCATCAGGTGCTGTGCACAGTACTTGCCACTACCTTTATGCAAGTGTTTGCCTGGTGATGAGTGGGGGTGATGGTGATGGTGATGATGATGAACTCGTTATCTCTGAAGGTCAGAACCGCTTTCCCGGATGCCGGTGCAAAGCACAGTGCAATACCAAGCAGTGCCCGTGCTACCTGGCTGTCCGAGAGTGTGACCCTGACCTCTGCCTCACCTGTGGAGCAGCTGACCACTGGGACAGCAAAAACGTGTCCTGCAAGAACTGTAGTATTCAGCGGGGCTCCAAAAAGGTAAGCAGCTGTCACCGCGGGAAGGCTGTTTTGTCTTCTGATGTCACCCAGCTTTAGACAGACCATTGGCTGGGGCAGCCGAAGTAAAGGTGCTGTTGATGAGGGAGAACACGACCACATTTTCTTGGGGGTAACTATTGTCTTTTGCATTTCCCACTTGGTGGGAAGATAAACTAGGGCTTAGGAGTTATTTTCTAGTTGTTTAGTCATTTTAAATATCTCTTTCAGTTAATATAAGTTTTCATCACTTCAGTCCAAACAGATGCAATCCGAACACAGTAGAGCTATGTGTTCTCATCAAGTGGTATCTTTAGGTTCTTTTCTTTTCAGCGTGAAAGGTAAACTTTCCCATGCAAGATTTTGTAGACGTGTTTTTATGTAATACCCGTGAAAGGAGGTTGTCCGTGGTGGGGGGCGTCTGGGTGGCTGGGCCCTGGGGCGAGGGCAGGAGGAGGTCTCCAGTTTCTTGCTGGCCTGGCTACACTGTGACTCAGCTCAGGCCGGCTGTATCACGAGATCCTCACATACAATCAAAGAAAAGCTTGGACACCATACATCCAGGAGTTTGAAATTTGAGAATAGCATTGTAGGTGATTTAAAATGAAATAAACATTAAGCAGTTACTGAGCAAGAGAAACTTTAACAATCATCTTTTTAATCATAATAGCTGACACTTCTTAGCTACTTAATATTATATACTTAATAAACAGCCCTGAGTGGTGTGTGTATCCCTGTGAGTTAGGATTATCATAAATTCTGTTTTATAAACAGGGAAACCCCAAGTCACAGGACTCACAAGTAAAGGAGCAGGTGGTGAGTTAACTACAGCGCCATCCTGTGTTCCTCCGTGGGGGTGCGGCGCCCCGCTGTTCAGAGCCACTTGTGCCAGAAATCCTGCCCCATGCAAAACATTTAGCGTCTCTTGATTTCCTTCCCTGTGGCTCTGAACCAACACCTATAATCCTACCGGGGGCGTCTGGATTGGCTGTGCAGGGTGATTTTCGTTTTAGGTGCTTGACCCGTTTGCACTGGTGGCTTACCTATCCATTTAGGCCTGCTCACTGTCCTGACGTGTACCAAGTCAAACTTGTCACTGTCGGACAGGCATTGTCTTCCCATGAAACCCACAGCAGAGGGTGACGTGGTTCGGGCTGACACGTGCTCTTGGCTGACGTCTTTTACTTCTCAAAACAAACCTGGGTTACTAACTGGGTTCCACTTAATTAAGAATATTTAATTTTGTTGATGATCAGGAGAGTGTTTGGGAAGTTCACCTAACGGGAAAATATAGGATGGACCAGAATAGGCATAGTTCAGGAGCTTGGTTGATCTTGGAGCCTTTTTCATCGTCACAGGAAGATTCTGGATGCAAACAGTAATGGGCCATGAAGGCCATGAGCACATGGAGGAATTAACTGAGCACTTTGCAGCAATGGTGACGTTGGGTGGGATTCTTTGCTGAAAGTGGAACACGGGACTGCTGAGACGAGAGCCGTCATTGTGGTTCCCATGGTTCCATGGGGAGTGCTAGGAGAAAAAGACGCCACGAGAAAGCAAGCCACCATGTCAAGACGCAGGGCAGCGCAGCGCAGCGGGGCAGGCTGGGGCAAGATCCACCCTTTAGCCACCCATTTTAACAGGGTCCCGCTTACTTTCTATAACCTCCCAACAATGCCGTCAGTGAGTTCTCATACCCTCCTCCATCAGTACACAAGGCTTTTGGGGACACTTGATGATCCAGACTAACAAAGTGGAAGCTGGGAGGGGATGTAACTCCGCAGCAGTCCCTGAGTATCTCACTGCTGTCGTTTCAGGGGGCCCATAACAGCAAAGGCTGGGGTTCCCTCCGTATTTCCTTCTGAATTTGTGAAACACGTTGTTTTGGTAGTTTGCAGCTCTGCGCAGTTGCTCTTGTGCAGATTGGCTCTACCTGTGCCTTGCTGCTGCTCCTGGGCTCGGGTTTCATTGGGTGCAGGGTATTTGTCGCCAGTCTGCGTTCCTCCTCCTCTGATATGTGGCTGTGCTTCGTTCTCTAGCACTTACTGCTGGCACCATCTGATGTGGCAGGCTGGGGGATTTTTATCAAAGATCCTGTGCAGAAAAATGAATTCATCTCAGAATACTGTGGAGAGGTAAGGCAACACTCAGGATTAGAGGGGTATTATTTATAATAGCTGTGTGTTGGGATGATTTCATTGGAGAAATCATTGAGTTTAATTAGAATGAATCGTCATCAGATGTGAGGAGTTTTGGCCTGGATTTATTCTGCTTGTGGATCTGGTTTGCTTGGTAACTGGATTGCTTTAGTTTTCACCATGGGGACTTTAGCTTTCATCCCCTGGGGACTAAGGTGGGCAGGGATGACACGAGCTATGCTCTGTTGAGACTGTTCTGCTTAATCCACAGCCTCGCTGACAGTGGCCTGCGGACGTTAGGGTCATGACATTCTCCTGTTTCTAGCTGTCGGGTTAGGGGCCATACTGGAGAGCTAGCTTCAGTTGGACTGAACCCACAGTTTGCATTTTTTTAGCCAAGATACTTTTCGGTGGTCATTTTCTCTAAGCTTGTTATTTGAGATAAAGAAATCTCTGCCTTAGAGGCTTTAAAATACCTTTGAGGCGTGCAGACCAGTGGAGCTGAGGAGTTGGCTTTGTTGAGGATTCTCAGGAAGGACCAAAATTCTCTAGAAGAGCTCTTATTTGTTCTTACAGGCTTGATCCCTCACTCCAAGACATTGTCTTCCTGTGTTTCTTTTTAGATTATTTCTCAAGATGAAGCAGACAGAAGAGGGAAAGTGTACGATAAGTACATGTGCAGCTTTCTGTTCAACTTAAACAATGGTATGTGTTTCTGAGCCTGCAGGCACTTTGTTCTGAGTTGGCTTGAGAACCTTCCACAGACAGAGGATTAAGAATAGAGGCCAACGATTGGCCAGAGGAGGCTGGCTACAGCAGCAGTCCTGTTTCTCATTGCCTGTCATAGCATCAGAGCTGAGCGGCTTGTGGGCGGGACGCGGAGTGGCTGGCTTCCTCATGGAACAGAGGGACAGGTGCAGGACGCAGCGTCCTGGTGGACTGCCACACTGGGAGGGGACATGCACATTCTTCTGTGCCCTGCTACATTCTTCTTGACTCATCTTCCTGAGAACTTGGGGGTCTTGGAAGCATCGCTTCCTCATCCTTGTCCTTGAGAACCTCTGATCTAGAAGGAGAATGAGAGCCTTATCTGCGAGCACCTTCCAGATCCGCCAGGATGCCGGCCGCGTGAAGTAGAAGTGTACTGAAGATAGGACGGCGTTAGCAATTGAGTGGGACTAGGGAGTGAGCTTTCTGGCAGAGCTGCTGTTTTTAAGTGTGAAATGCCAGTTCTTTTCGAGGCTGGGGGCGGGGGAGTCCTGTGGCTTGAACTCAGTCCCTGAGCTTTTTCTTTTTTCTCTTTCAAGGCTGGTGCTCTACCATTTGAGCCACAGCTCCACTTCTAGCTTGGAGATAAAAGTCTCCCAGACTTTCCTGCCCAGGCTTCCTTTGAACCATGATCCTCAGATTTCAGCCTCCTGAGCAGCTAGAATGACAGGTGCCAGTTCTTGGTATTGGAGAGAAATTTTTTTTTTTTTAAGCCATGACTACATGCTTTTTTTTTAAGCCTTGATTTTCTCAGCTACACACACACACACACACTCTCCATTGTTAATCATTAAGGATTAATTTTGACCTAGAACAACAGCATTTTTTTCCAAATGTCATGTTGAATGATTTGCTTTTGAAGTCAAGCCTTGAAGAACTGTGATTGGTTCTGTTTCCAGAATCCTGTGTTTAATGATCTAAAACTGCAGGTCCTCACTGGATTGTACTTGTTTTCTTTTTTCTCTTTAGATTTTGTGGTGGATGCAACTCGCAAGGGTAACAAAATTCGTTTTGCCAATCATTCAGTAAATCCTAACTGCTATGCAAAAGGTAGGTCCTGCGGAAGTGTGCGTGAACAGTGGGACGGACGCCCCCTCACGCGCGCACTGGGGGATGTCAGGCTTCCCACGCCCCCTGCCCTCTGACCCCATGTGTCCTCCTTCTAGTGATGATGGTCAATGGCGATCACAGGATAGGAATCTTTGCCAAGAGAGCTATCCAGACTGGTGAAGAGCTGTTTTTTGATTACAGGTTGGTAAAGAACATTTTCAGTATGATCTGAGGGCTTTACTTCCTGCATGGTGAGATGGGGGCCAAGGCTACTTCCTTTTCACTCAGTCTTGTACTGATCTGCTGTCCCAGAAGGGGTCGTTCGACACTGCTGGCCATCAGTGTTGGCTGCAGCATTGGCTAGGGGAGTGGTTATGCTGTCCCCTTAATGTAGCTACTCATTGTCTTTGCATACAGTGGTGCTTTCTGTTTGCTTGTGGTCCTGGAGATTGCACTTAGGATCTTGAAGCTCAAGAGGCAAGCACTCTCCCACCTAACCTCAGCCCCAAGAAATGCTGTTCTCCGGCGCCCCCCCCCCCCAATTTTGGTCTGTTGTGGGTCTTAAACTCTAGGCCTGGACTCTAGTTCAAGGCGAGTGCTCTACCACTTGAGCCATAGTGCCACTTTCTGTTTTCTGGTGGTTCGTTGGAGTTAAGAGTCTCATGGACTTTGCTGGCTTTGAACCATGATTCTCAGATCTCAGCTTCCTGAGTAGCTAGGATTACAGGCATGAATCACCAGTGCCCGATTTAAAAAAAGAAAAGGACAGGTACAGAATACATTTCTTTTTGGACACTGGCACCCCTTCCCTCACCCTCTCCCAGTTTTAATGTTAAAAAACGAAACCTGTGCAGCAAGCCCTGTGTCTTGCCCTGCCGTTGGCAGCTGGTGTGACCCTGGACCTTTTTACATCATGTCAAAGATGCATTGTGTCACTAGGTTTGGTGCCTTTTCTAAGGGAAAACGTCACTACTGTATTTATATAGATTATTTTGAGAACACCATACTATACTTTGACAGCATTGCTGTCAGTACGTTTACATCTTTTTAAATTATTAGAGTACTTATACACATCATTATATTTTTTTGGCGTGTCTGTAAGGCATGTGTGTGGTGTGTGGTATTTTGCATGTATTTCTTATGGTGCTCTGGATTGAACGTAGGCCCTGCCTGTGCTGTTTGTGCTCTATAATACCCCTGGCCCAAAGCATCATGAGTGGGTGCATGTGTGCACGTGCATGTGTGCTGGTCCTGGGGCTTGAACTCAGATTACTGTCCCTGAGCTTCTTTTGTTCAAGGCTGGCCCTCTATCACTTGAGCCACAGCTACACTTCTAGTTTTTATTGGAGATAAAGAGTCACGAAATTTCCTATCTGGGCTGGTTTTGAACTGTGGTCCTCAGATCTCAGGCTCTTGAGTAGCTAGGATTATAGGCGTGAGCCACTGGTGCCTAGCCATCATTTAGTATTTTAAAAGTCAAGCACTGTTGGCAACTCTCCACTTTGTTGTGCTGTGGTTCTTTTGGGGAGAAAGAGCTACTGGGGTGCTGGAGACACAAAGCCACTGACAGCGCTGAACTGTGGGCCGGCATCTACCTTGCAGTTTAACCTTACTGTACGTCGATTTATTTAAATGCTGTCAAACACAGATGATTGAATTGGTGATTTCTGTAGCTGAGGCGGCATCCTTCGTGGAAACGTTTCTTGAGAGCTGAGTTATTGCAGACTAGGGCCCACGTTCCCCTGCGGCAGTGTTGGAGGGGACGGATGGAAACTCTGGGCTCCCAGGCGGCCTCCTGGGAAGTCCTTTACCTCAGGCTCCCTCCTCAGGGGAAGCAGCAGGAGGTCCAGGGTCCGAGGCAGCTCCATCTGGCCTCTCCATTGGAGGAGAGCGGAGGCTCCCGAGGCCTGGACCCTCAGGTGCCTTCTCTGGCTGGTTTGTGCGCCCTGGGCTGGGCTCTGGCTTGTGCCTGGCGCCTGGTCTTCCTCCCAGCGCAGCGCATGTGAGCACAGAGGCGTGGGGAGGGCTGGGCAGGGAGAAGCTTCCAGCGGCTTCCAGCCTGGATTTGTTCAGTTCAGAGCCAGGCATCTCCTCATCTGGAAGGTGAGCACGGGCGCGGATGCCTGCTTTGCCTGCCACATCTGGGCCTGTGCGGGTGTCGTTGTACAGTTGGGGAAGGGCTTTTAAAAAGAGCATTAAAATGCTCCACTAAGGGGGGGGGAGGGGGGAGGCTGGGAAGGGATGGGAAGGGTAAACAAAGGAGGAGGCTGCAATGCTTGGTAAGAAATGTACGCATTATCCTGCCCATGCAATTGTAACCCCTCTGTACAGTATGTTCACAAATAAAATAAAATAAAATTAAAAAAAATGCTCCACTAAGTTGGGCAGGCTTGGTGTGCTAACTTCCCTGCGCATTGGATGCATGCTCCTTCCTTGTTCTGTTTCAGATACAGCCAGGCCGATGCCCTGAAGTACGTGGGCATTGAACGAGAAATGGAAATCCCTTGACATCTGCTACCTCCCCCTCCTCCCGGAAACAGCTGCCTTAGCTTCAGGAACCTCCAGTACTGTGGGCGCACCGCACCGCACCGCACCGCACCGCACCGCAGGAAGAGAGCGTGCAGTGTGAAAGTCGGAATCTGCAAAGTACTGTAACAATAATTTATAGTAATGAATTTAAAAATCAACTTTTTATTGCCTTCTCACCAGCTGCAAAGTGTTTTGTACCAGTGAATTTTTGCAATAATGCAGTGTGGTACATTTTTCAACTTTGAATAAAGAATACTTGAATTTCTCCTTGTCTGGTGTCCACTACCACAGGTTCATTGAATGACGGTAGAAAAAGACAGACCCTCTTTAGTGGGAAGATACTCCAAGACGTAATTCCTTGGGGTATTTAGTTTTCTTCCAAAGTGTGATTTATTTAACAAACAATCTTGCCTATCTGGCATCAATAGGCAGGATCAATTTGCCTAATTTATAAAGATCTTTTCCTATGTTAGGTCTAAATATGTAACATAAAACATACAATTAATATTAGTATCGCCTGGCACTACTAGAAGGCGTGGGAGCCAGGACAGGCTGTGCTTGCATTGGTTTATTCTAGAGAAAGTTGTTTAACTTCCATGTGAAAAGCGATAGAATTGAACGAGGTTGTTTCTAACGCCCTGTCCAGCTCAAAATTCTACTAGTCTAGATTGAGTTCTCAGGAATACAGCAGTGTAACTAGGAATTCCTCACCTACTTAGAAAAGATGAACGGGCCCTGGGCTTGGTGGCGCACACCTATATTCTCAGCACTGTTACCACATGGGAGGGAGGCAGGAGGATTCTGAGTTTAAAGCCATCCTGGACCACGTAACACCTGTGCACACATGCACACACGTGCGCACGCACATACACTCACACTTCAGAGGTTGTTCCTGCCCGGGTCACGTAGAACCGAGGCTCTTGTTCAGTTTCTCCCTCAATTTGGGCACTGCCGCTTCTCTGTCTGTCTGTCTGTCCTTCCAGTCCTCACCAGGCAGTTGTCGACTGTCAGGGTGCTGGAATGTGTACCGAGCACGCAAGCGGAATTACAATGAGGTTAAAGGCTGGCAGTCACATCCCGCTGGTGGGGGCCGCTCCGCTCGAGCTTCTGGCCTATGAGATGAGCAAGGTCGGGACGGGCATGAAGTACACTGGGGAACAACATTTGCCCTCCAGTCTCCGGCCATAATTCCAAGAGAAGCCTTGTAGTAACTACACACGGTACAGGCCCTTGCTGGGATATTTGCCCCAGGACTTTGGGGTTTTACTAAAGGGGTCGTGGTTCAAAGAAAAGTGAAGGCAGCACTTTCAGTGCAGCTGCACCTTCACTGGTGCAGCTCAATGGTAACAGGGCAGGCTAGAGAGGCATCGGGAGCACGATGGCTGGAGGCTGCGGTGGGGCACAGCAGAGCGCTGATCACTCCAGACAGTGGGGACTAGCATGGCTGACAGCCCCTTGCTTCGTTACAGTGACATCTTTCAAAACGCTGCTCCCATCATGCATCTGACTCAGCACGGAAAGGACAAGGGGAGCAGAGCTTATTCTGGGAAAACCTCACCCGCTCCTGGAGCTGCCTCTCCTCTCCCCTCCCCCACCCCCCAGCTCATGAGCAACCCACCACCAGTGCGTCCCAGTGTTCCCACAATCCTGGGAATGCACTCCGTGTGTTTTTGCTCTGAAATCAACTTCCTTCCAATTCTGTGCTTTCATCTCCAAATTCTAAAAACACTGGGCAGAGGTTACAATCTGCTAAAATCTCTCTAGGCGACGCCTCGAAACGCGAAACTGTATTTGCGGTGTTGTAAATTGTGTTGTTTCACAAGCAGGAAGGGCTGAGAATTGGGGGCGTGGGGTGGGTTTCCCAAGAGCTGATGTTCTAGGGCACCCTCTGCAGGACAGACACTTCTCTAGGGACTGCACTGCCTGCAGCAGGCCTCTACCCTGCAGCAGCTACACAAGGTGAGTTACCCACGTGGGCCTCAGTGTAACTCTGGAGCTGCATTCTTTTGGCCTACATTTCAAGGCCGCTCACGTGTGGCTAGGACAACAGATCTTGGGTGGTCTTGACCGAATGGGGGCAAGAGCAGGTGTGGCATGTGAAGATGATGTGCCATCAGTTCTTACCTGGCCCGTCTACAGTTCTTGGCTTCCGGCTGGGCCTGTGCAGCGCTTACCCAAGGGCCTACTGGACCCTGGAGCAATTGCAAGCCTCCACGATGGGCTTTTCTATTTCGGGACTCAAACACAGGTTCTGAAAGCGGGTCTGATGGTAGCAGCTAGCCCTGCGGAAATGCAGAGAATTTAAAGGTGACCAGCCCGTGTGGCCCACGGAAGTCACTGAATGTTTGGAGGGGGTGGGGAGAAGGGCACTCAACTCACCTTAAGACTAATGAGAAGATTCATTCCAGCCAGGTGGGTCAAAGAAGAGATCTGCAGCTTACCTACCCAGGCAGTAAGACGCAGCCTAGTCAACCCATACACCCTCAACGCTGCAGCAAGGGACTTGGTCTCAAGGGCTGGTCCCCACGAGATTTAATCCTCTAAGCCCCTTACACTTCAAGAAAAATCCAACTACCACTCTCATCCAAGAGATGAACAGTCTATTTAAAAGTATTTCTGCTGGTTATTTACCATAGCTAAGATATGGAACCAACCCAGATGCCCCTCAGTAGATGAATGGATCAAGAAAATGTGGTATATATACACAATGGAATTCTATGCCT